GGCTGTAAGTCCCACACCCCCAGGACTCCCGGTCTGTGGTGTAATTACTGTTTTTACATATCCTTAAGTAGCTCTGTCTCAGCTTGCTAAGGCTGGCAAAACAAAATTTCACAGACGGGGTGGGTTCAACAACAGACGCTAATTTTCTCACAGTTACAGAGACGGGAAGTCTGAGATCATGTTTTGGTAGGTTTGGTGTCAGGTCCTATTTCCTGATTTTTATCGCAGCTCCTCCTTCCGGAGAGGGATTTCCGTCCTTAGTTAGTCTTGATCAGAAGTGTCATGGCATCAGTGCCTGTGGGTACTTAACTAATCTGCAAGGCTAATTTTATTATAATCAGGCCATAATGAGCAAATGGTGACATTCAGACACCAGAGATTCTTGCCTTTTCCCACCTTTCTTTGTCTGCCTCTAGGATCCTTGTCACCCCACAATGTGTGATTTCCTGTTAGCCCGGAAGTTCCCGCTTTGTCTGCCCAAGGACCCCGTTGTTCACAAGATGTATGGTTTCCTGCCATTTCGCTGGTACCTGCCTCTCTCTGCTCGTATCTAGCTATCTGCCTGCTCTGACAAATTGGCCCCAAATAGCCAGGACTTGGTCAATAACTTCCCCAGCTTCTGTCCCTACTTCCAACTCCTCTTGGTCCCTGAACTGTCCACACCTTCCATCCTTTCTCAGCCTCCAGGCCCCCAGCCAACGAGATACCTGCACCTGGGGCAAGAGGGCTGCACCTCATTCACTAGTGTCCTGGTCAGATGACCAGCCTAGATGAACGGGCAACGAGTGAGGACACTGAACCCTGCGACCCAAGCCTTCCTCCACCAGGACTGCCCAGCAGCCCCTGCAGCCCACCCTTTGCCTGGATGTCCAACCAACCCAGCGGACCTCTTAGAGCCTAAGGGAGCTGCAGTGCTGCTGGGACAAGAGGGAACGGGCAGGGCTCCCAATAGCCCCACACCCAGAAGCCCTGAGCAAGAGGTGCCAAAACAGCTTTGAGACTTAGAGAAGGAAAGAACTTTCTGGAGAGGAACAAGAGGCAGGAGGAGCAACCACTGTGTGCACTGACTTAGTGAGATCAGGGCATGGAAAGGTTCACAAGCCGTGAGAGATCCAATGAGGAGGGTTGAGGATGGGACCTCCCCCCGCCCCAGGGGCCGAGAAGGTCCCCACAGTGAAGGGCGAGCATGTGGAATGGTGTGGCCTCCCCTACCTGGCCTTGGGCATGAGAGTTTGGAGGAAAGCTCGAGCCAGCTGACCCCATAAGACCAGTGGGGACCCTATGTGCTTAGCCCACCACGTAACTAATATTCCAGGTGATCACAGCAGGGCTTCAGTTTCCCCACCCATCCTGGCACATGGGAGCTGTGGGGAGAGGAAAGGCCTGCAGGTCTTGGAAGAATCTGGGCTGAGCCCAGGCCAGTGGGGTCAGCAGACACCCCCAGGGCTCAAGAACCCCGTGTCCCTGCCCCAAGTCTGCTGAGCCAGGGGAAACATAATTCCTGGAAACTTTTGGTTTCTCTGTCTAGCCCTCAGGGCCACGCACCTGCCCAAAGGCCTGGCCCCAACAACAGCTCTCACTCCTCCCCTCCCCGCAACCCCACAGGGCAGGCAACCCCTCCAGGCCATGGCCTTCCCATCCCCAGGCTATTAGAGCAGGCCTCCACTCCCCTTCCAGCTGAGAAGCGCAGTCCCATCACTGTAGTGTAAAGGGTTCCCTTAGAAGCTGAGGAAATGGGTTAATGGTGGTTAATGAAGTGACCTGGTTCTCTGCCACTGACCACAGTGTTTTCCAGAAGTCCTGAGGGCATGGGAGTGCTTAGAGTATAATGTGACCTTACACACCTGCAGCACAGCCCCAGTGACACAAGATTGGGGGGATGTGACATATACAGACGTGCTTGCGAAGGAAAACACTGAATGCAGGCGGACCATGACATTAACAAGGTGGCTCTGGCATAGGGACCATGTGTGATTTTTGTTTTCCTCTTCATGCTTTTCTGAATTGTCCAAGTTTTCTACAATGCATGTTATTTTTTAATGAAAAAAAAATTAAAATTATCTTCTAAATGATCTCAGTTGAAATCTGTAGAAAGCTTTCTAGATTTGGAGGCATCGTCATTATTTATTACCCCATGGAATCCTCACACCTCCCCATTACTGTGGTGCCAGCTGGTGTCGGCCGAGGCCCTGCGAAGCCCACTCCTGGGCTCTCAGATGATATCCTTCTGCAATTCCTTAGAAAACAAAGTACACCCTTTTCTGACGTGTGCTTGCCCTAGCAGAATCAAGAACCCTGGGAAATGGCTAACCTCACAATAGCTTACCTCACAATAGCTCAAGCTGACTTGTCTCAGCCCATGATTCCTCCTTATCAGAATCATAAATCCCACTGTCTCCTCACGGACCCTAACTCTCTTACCTCGCCCATAACCAATCAAAAACTTGTGCACGAGCTGATCACACAGCCTCCCTGTTCACCAACCACCCCTTCCCATAAGAGACCTCAGCAACTGACCCCCGGGCCTCACACAAGCTTCTCTCACCTGTGTGGCCCACTGTTGCCAGTAGCTGCATAGCTATTGAACTTTTCCTTTGTTCTTAAACATTTCTTTGTCTTTGGTAAATTCTTCTACCGCCTGCAACACTGACCCGCTGCATCCACCAGCAATTATGAGAGATGTTGTTGTGGCCCCCATTTCATAGGTGGGAGAAATGAGGGGTGTGTGAAGGGAAATGACCCCTCTGAGGTCACACAGCAAATGAGACCAGAGCCTGATTCCCAAGAACAGACTCCTTTCACGATGGGTTTACCCAGGGGTCTTAAACCCTGTGCTTTCGAATATTAGGCACAACTTCAGTGTTAGCCAGTGCATTTGTATTCATTAAAAATACATTCTGAGATGGCATCTGCTAACGGCCCTCATGGCCCCAAAAGATAAAAATAAAGAATGCAACTTTTGTCCTCATTAATATAAAAGTACATCTAGAAATGAGTGGCGGGAGAAGTAAAGCAGACCTCCAGGCGGGGTCTGGCCTCAATGCCCTTCCCGCACGGGCTGGTGGGAAAGTCCAGTCTGGTGAAAGCAGTCAACCAGTTCATTGTGTCAGGAAAAAATTAAAGTGCTTACAAGGAGACTGATTCCTCAGAACAAGAGTGAATCTGAAAATAAAAGGAAAATAAAAAATGAAGGGGGAGCAGTTGAGCAAGATTTGTGCAAAATGGAATACACGTGCCCATCCTATCCAGGGATGTAAAGTGTGTGATTTTTTTGGTGATTCCATATAAGAATTAAATGCTCTCCTGTTGGCATTTAAACTGGCATTGCACAATAGAAAGGTGAATGGTAATATTCATGCTAACCATATCAACAGTGAATTTTTATTTAGTTAGGTTAACACATTGTTTATGCACCAATTTTTAAAGCAAGAGAGAGATATCGAAAAGAGGAAAATCTTTGTATTTAGTATCCTTACCAACACTGTTTTCACACCTGTTGAACAAGGCAGCCCACAAAGCATGCAGACAGCCCCCCGGTCGGGGAAGAAGGGACAAACCCTGACCCGGCCCTGTGACTCTACGTCTGCGGCCAAGGGCCGTGTCCCAGGGAGCCAGAGGCTGGCAACTCAGTGTGAGGCCATGGCCCACGGCCTGGTGTGGTCAGTCTGGCCTTGGACCCACCATCTGAAAGAGGAGGACCCCGAGCCCTCCTGGCCATGGTGTAGGGGAGGGGAGGGACAGAGAACAGGGAGAGAAAGGCCAGTGGGGTCTGCCAGTGAGTGACCGTGGCCTGGCCACCCCTCGCTTCTCTGAACCTCAGTGTCTCCCTCTGGCCTGCGCTCTGCCTCCTTCCAAGGCTGCAGGAGGGGAAACAGCTGAAGAGGGGACATTTTGTGACCTGTCAACATGCAAATTTACCAAAACATAGCAAGTTGCCATCGGCCAGGACCTCTAGACCCCAATCCCTAAAGGTCAGTGCTGGCTACCCAGAGAGGGGCCTGGACTGAGGTCCTAAAACTCTGCTGAGGCCTTGTAGGGAATGAGATGGTGCTACCTGGGGCCTGGGGCCTGGGGCGGGGTGGGCCAGGGGGACCGGAGCAGCCTGTCAAAGTGGAAGGGTGTTCTGGGCATCTGGAACTGCATGCAGTCCAGGCTGAGGGCCCCAGAGAAGTACTGAGGGGCCCTGTGTCCAAGGCCAAGAGGCCACAGGCCAGGCAGAGGAGTGGGGCCTGGACCAGGGGTGGGCACTGACCACCAGCACACACAGTCATCCCGGGGACACCCTCCTTGTCCCAGCCCTCAGGGCAAAAGGATCAAGGAAATTCCCCTGAGAAGGAGGGCACCCAGCCTGAGTGATCATCCCGTCCCCACCCCGGTCCCTACACAGGGACACAGGCGGGGCCCTTCTGGGAAGAGGCTTTCCTGGTGTCCGCCCTGTGCAAAAACAGCCCCGACCCTGAACCTGCCTGCCCCTCCCTTTCTCAGACGCCCGACATCCTCTGCACAGAGCATGCGGCTCCTAAGTACAAGAAGACTCGTTCTTGCCGTGGAAAGTTCGGGAAAAGACAAAAAGATACAGCAGGAGGAATAAAATGCCCTCCAAGGTCCCCCCACACCCGGGCTCCTCCTCTGTCTCCGCTCCCTGCGGACGGAGTGCTGATTTGGACACGTCACTCCCTGTCCCTGAAGGGCCCCTCCACGACCACAGAAACCATGACCACCGCGATGTGCCATTGCGGATTCTATTTCTTCCTTTGTCTGCCCTTAATTTTTTGAATGCTCACAATAAACATGCATTACTTTCAAAGTGGAAAAAAATGGATCCACTTTATGAGGAATTCTTTTTTATTTAAAAACGTGGCCCAAGGCAGCGGCCGCCCAGTCTGGGGTCGGTCCAAGCTGGAAGTCTTTTGGTCCAACTGGGGCAGGGCCAGCCACTCACCCTCGCCCACCGTGTTCTTCCTCCCACCTCCTCCTTTAAAGGTGCCCCAGGGCCACGAGCCACCATCTGTCACCTGCCTGCCACCTGCCACCATGCGCTGTCTTGCCAGCCTGGCCCTGGCCCTGCTCTCCCTGGAGGCTGCCTTTGCACTGGCCCCAGCACTCTCCTTGCCAGGTAAGCCCAGAAGGGGCATCCTGCCCTCCCTCTGCTCCAGGTCCCCCCACCCCCCGAAATGCTGCCCAGGCCTCACAGTTTGGTGACCACGACAAGAGAGGGAGCAGAACGAGGAAGGTGCACCCTTGGGGTATCAGTGACAACAGAAGTGTGGGGTGCTGCCCAGAGATGCCCATGCGCGGGGGGCTGAGAGCTGCAGGGCCGAGGCCACCGTCCCGGGATGCAAAGTGACTGGGCAGCTAGCTGGGTGTTGGGGGAAGCTGTCCTCGGCCCTTCGGGGTCTTAACTCCACCTCCTGCAGTGGGCCTGTGGCCTCGTTTCCTGACTTTCACAGCTGACTCACAACTTCTGTCAGCCACGTCGAATGTCAGTGTTGGGGTGCTGGAGACCGGACTCCCCAAGGTTCTTGTCCACGCCCCACCTTGCTTTTTCCTGAGGCGCCCCAGGGGAGGTGGGATCCAGCCAGCCCCCCACCTCCCCGCTGGTCTCGTGAGCAGGGCAGGCCATGTGCCCAGAGCTCAGCTCCTCCGAGGACAACGCCTGCATAATCTCCTGTGTCAACGATGAGAGCTGTCCCCAAGGCACCAAGTGCTGCGCCAGGAGCCCCTGCAGCCGATCCTGCACGGTCCCCCTCATGGGTAAGGCCATTTCTGGACAGAGGGAGGAACCAACTTTGTCAGGGGTCCTCCTTGAGTCTGCACTCCACACCCCTCTCTCGGTGAGCCCCCCAGCAGCCCCATAAACTCGGCCCGGCCATGGCACGGGTTCACTTGCTGGACCCACCTGAGGCCCAGCTGAGGCTGGCCCGCCTCCTCCCAGCATCACCTGCTGGGCCCGCGGGCCACAGTCTCCCTCCCAGCCTGGGCGCTGAAGGCTCCAGGCCACCAAGGGGGAGGGAAGGGGGGACCAGCTGCAGGGCGGCCCCAGCAGGCCAGCGGGTGATGACGGCCTGGCCAGTCTCTTCCCCAGAGCCTGTCCTGAAGGATGGCCGCTGCCCCTGGGTGCAGACCCCGCTGACCTCAAAGCACTGTTTGGAGAGAAGCGATTGCTCCAGGGACGACCAGTGTGAGGGCAACAAGAAATGCTGCTTCAGCTCGTGTGCCATGAGGTGTCTGGACCCCGTCACAGGCAAGCGTTTCGGAGACCCTTCTCCTAGGCCACCTTCCCGGCCACCACCCTGGGGATGGTGGATCTGGCTTCTTTCTCCCTTTGCCTGCACCGACCGTGGTGGCCTCTGCAAGGCTCTAAGAGCAGTAAGATGCATGGAAGGGTGGGGGCTCAGGAGGCAGCGTGACCCGAGCCTGTGCCAGCTGCAGGCCTCTGCGGGCGCTCAGTGTGGCCATTGGGTTAGAGAGAGGGTGTCAGACTAGCAAAAGGGGCTCAGAGAAACCCAGAGACTTGCCTGGTGGGACCTGGTCCGGCCGGGTGGGCCCACCCGCTATTCTGTGCCTTTGCCACTCAAGCTTGGGGAGGAGCCCTGAATTAGGAGCCCAGAGACGTGGTTCCCTGATAACAGTCCCTACCACCTGTGACCTGGCCGGCCTGCCTGCCTGCGGGTGATGGCGAGGGCCCAGGAGGGGTGGGTGTGGAGGGCTTACTGGCCCACCTGCAGTGTCCCTCCCTCCCCTGCCCCGGCCATGGCGGGGCTCCACCACCCCTGAGGCCTCCATGTCCCCTGCAGAGGACTCTCTTCAATGAGCGGCATCCCTGGGAGCTGCCAGGAGTGACCAGCCTGAGTCCGCTCAGCAAGAACCTTCTCTCTCAGATCCAGACAGCACCAGATGCCTCCTATCTGCTGCTAATAAAAACCCACTCGGCTTCATGTCTGTCTGTCTGCCCTCAGCACCTGCCAGGAGAGACCAAGCACACAGGCCTTGCCTTCCAAGCAGGCTTGGAAGCTCCTGCAAACAGGCGATTCTGCCTGGGGACACGTGTGACGAAGTAGAGCCAGGCTCTTAGAGCTGGGGGTCATAGTGGCCTCTCTGGGCTTGGAGAGACGTGTCCACCAGGCTCTAAGGGTCTGACCCTTTCCAGAGGTGTTGCTGAGCGTGGGTTCAGGAGCAGGAGTGGAGCCAGTAGGGAGGGCTTGAGGCTCAGAGGTTGCCACAGCCTCTCTCCATATCTCCTTGGCCTTGACCAGCTTGGGGGGGCAAGCAAAGAACAAAGGGTTACCAGGCGATTCAGTGCTGGCGCCGCTCTTGGGCAGCCTGGTTTAGAACCTCCAGGGAAGTGTTCACATCCCACCATACAACCAGTCAGTGTCATTTCAGCTCTGACACTGACCAGCCAGAGTTCAAGTCCGGCCCCACAAGTCGAGGGCTCAGTCCCACAAGACTGTCCCCACTGCAGATGCCAGCTGCCAAGTCCTGGGGGCCACCTGCACTTTCACTCACTTGGTTATATATTCAGGGGTTCCCACCACCTCCACAGATTCAATCATTTGCTAGAACAACCCACAGAACTCTGAAAGCACGATATTTATGATTGGAGTTCTGTTATAAAGGATACAGACCAGGAACAGCCAAATGAAGAGACACATGGGGGAGGGAGGGGGAGGGAGATACAGGAGCCTCTGTCCCCGTGGGGTCAGGGTGGGCCACCCTCCCAGCACATTAACTGTCACCAACCCAGAAGACCCCTGAGCTTCTGTGTCCTGAGGTTTTCTCGGGACTTCATTAATAAGCATGATGATGAAATCATTAACAATAGCTGATTAACTCAATCCGCAGCCCTCCTAATCACACGTTGGTTCTTCTAACCACCAGCCTCCTTCTAGAGCTGTCTAGGACCCCCCACACCGAGTCACCTCATTAGCATAAACTCTAGTATGGGAAAGGGGATATTTACAAATAGCAAAAGACAATTGTAAGGATGGGGGAGGGTGTAGCTCAGGGGTAGAGTGCATGCTTAGCATGCACGAGGTCCTGGATTCAATCCCCAGTATCTCCATTAAAAATAAAATAATAAAAAGTAAATAAATAAACCTAATTGCTTCCTCCCCTCCCCCCCAAAAAAAGGAAACTGTAAGGAAATCCCTATCACTCAGGAAATTGCATGAGTTTTTGAAGCCGTGTGCCGGGGACAAAGACCAGATTTAGTTATCTCACCAGAGTGGACAGCCTGGTTTGGGGGACCTATACGCCAGGTGAGAACGTTTCTGACAGTCCAATCCTTTAAAAACACCTATATCCAGGCCAATTTGCCACCTGAGGTGACTCAAAGTGCAGCCAGTTTAGGGCGGTTCCCAAAGTCCGGTCCCCACATGGGCAGCAGCGTCCGCTGCAGGCGGCAGGTGCCTGTGGGGCACCACCCAGACCTGCTGAGTCAGAAAGGCAGGCAGGGCCTGTACGCTGTCTTCACCAGCTCGGGCAAGTCCAGAACCCCTGGGTGTGGCTGCAGGTCTTCCTGATTTCGGGGTGCACCTGAGTCTCCAGGAATCCTGTTGAAATGCAGATTCTAATTCTGAAGGTCTGGAATTCTGCATTTCTAAGCAGCTCCCAGGGGAGGCCTGGGAAGCACCTGGCTCTGTGAGGTGATGGGAGACTGGAGCTGGCAGAGCAGTGCCTGGGCCATGTCCCCAAGGTCCCTGCCCTGCTGAGAGCCGCCCAATCCCGTGGCAGGGTTAGGGGGTTGGCTGTTCCTACCACAGACACAGCACCACGAGTCGGGGCACCAGGGTTGGAACTTGCCTGACCTGGGGAGCTCTCCTGACACAGATCACTCCGGTCTGCTGCAGAGAACAGGGAGCTGCTGCAGAGAACAGCCTTAGCCCCATACCCAGGCCCCGGGTATCTTGCCACCGTTGGAGGCCACTGCTCCCTGGCAGGCATTAGGAGGCTGACAGGACGGCGTAGATTCAAACTGCCCACGGAGGCAAAGAGGGGACATCTGTGTCTCATGCAGCCTACGGAGGTGTCCCCCTCTGCAATCTGCTCCCCATTACGTTCCTCTTTGTGGCTAGAAACTGACACCCAGGGAGAAGTGACTGAGAAACAGGCAGGGATGGCGGGGGGGGGGATGAAACTCATGCTGGAGAAGCCCCTTAAAGACCAGCCCAGGGAGCCTCAAAGGTGCCACCTCCTGGCAGAGCTGTGTGCCAACCTTTGGCTTCAAGGATACCCCAGACCCATGGAGACTGGAGGGCAAAGACAGCAGGTGGGGCCTCCGGGCTGGCACAGCTGCCTGCAGAATTCCTGACAAACGGCAGCCAAGACTGTGGGGAAATATAATTAAAAACAAAATCTCCTGCCAACCCAGAAAACCTCTTCACCAAAGTCATGAGAGAGAAGACAGATGTGTTACTGAATAAACGTTAAGCCAGAACTCTGTGCTCAACACAGAAACGGCAGAGCAGAAAGGAGCGTCACCCTTTTCACGCCAGGTTAACCTGACCATCTGTGTTCGCAAGAGAATCAGAAACTAGTCCTGTAGTGGGAGGCTTGATGGCACCGTCTGTCACACTGCTCACTCCCACTCACCAGGTCTGGGTAGCCACCTGCATTTGCTAATGATCTCCATCTGGAGAAAGAGCAAAGTTAGGCTCCCACCTCCCAGGGAAACTTGGAGGTGGGGGTGCGACCTCCTTTCAAAGAGATGCCCAGAGAGCATTCCCGGATCAAAGCTGGGGGAAGGCTCGTCTTCCAAAGAAGGTACATGCATTTTAAAGAGACAAGGAAGCACGTGAAACTACAGGTTTTCTAGAGTAAATGCCCTGAGAAAAAAGGAGGAGGCATTTTCCCTGAATTCCAGGAAGAAGTATGGCCCTTACTAATGTGTATGTCTTCCAGTCCTAGCTGGGGGCACTGGATCAGCAGTTGCTGTCCTGCGCCTTGCGTCTCCCCATCTGGAAAAAGGATCATAATTCCTACACAGGGTGGTGGGTGCTAATGGGGTGGGGGAGTCACACCCCTTTCTTGGGCCCCAGTCTCCCAGTCAGAGCAGCAGGGCTGTGAATGGATTTGCCAATCCTGTTAAGGCACTTGGAGTTGACAGAGTGAGGTATGTGTTTTGGGGCATCGGGAGCAGCTGTGGATCTGATTCTTTTAGTAGAATTTGCTAAGGGCAGCATTTGGGCTCCTTCAGCCATGTGTGCGAGGTTTTGGTGCTGGGTGGTGAGGCCGTGCCAGTTTGATGGTGTCTGGGACCAGGCTTCAGACAGGCTCAGCTCCTCAGCCAGGTCTGGTAGCACATCCTGGGATGTGGTCAACAACCCAGAGGCACTGAACTCTGTGTCCACACACAGCCAGCTGCACATGGCAAGTGATGCAGCTCTGCTGGTCATCGAGGGCGACGTTGCCACCAGCTCCAGGATGCTGGCCATCCAGTGCTTCAGGATGACAGCTGGGAAGACAGAAGTGCAAGAACCAGGTGCAAGGGGACTACAGCAACACCCAAAGTAATCATTAATCTAGGCAAGGATCATGAGATGATGGAAACCGTTGGGAGAAAGGTTCCTGGGGAGCAGGACCGGTAGATTGCTCAGTATTCACAAAGGGAGAAGCTTCTTCCACAACAGGCATTGGTCCCCTCTTGAGTGACTATGGCAGTTCTAAATGGAGCCCCAAATCCTTGGGCATCCTCCCCTCGAGAGCAGGGTTGGAGACTCCCTCTTGAGTCTAGATGGGGCCATGATCACTTCCATCAATGGAGAGTGTAGGCCTTACGTGCCTCTGGAGTCTGGCCATGAAAGCCAGAGGGGCCTCCCTTGTTTGCTGGAGCACTCAGTCGAACCCTTGAGCCAAGCAAGAGAGGCTGTCACACATGGGCTCTCCCTAGGCTGTCTCTGGCTTTTAGCTATTCAACTGAGGCCCCAGTCATGTGCAGCAGAGGCAAGCCATCCTCAAAACATCCACCAGCATGATAAAACAATCAGGGTCATTTGCTCTGCAGCAACAATGATTAAGAAAGCGTGTGTGTGCTCAAACCTGAGACCACCCACTCCTCCCACCCAGTTGTCCTTCCCAACCAGGCTCCCAAACTGTCGGCAGCTCTGGAAATGCCTCTACAAAGTCTCACCAGCCCAAGAAGAAGGACATAAAAAAAAAAATGACAGCAGTAGTTACCCCACAAAATGGCCTGACAGCAGGGCACACTGACAATATGCTCTACTCATGGGCTAGAGTTCCTTCTTATTAGCCCACTGTTTTTTTTTTTAATATAACTGCTTTATTGAGGTATAATTCACGTAACATAAAACCCACTCTTTAATGTGTAGAGCACAGTGATTCTTCATACACTGAGTTAACTGTGCAACTATCTAATTCCAGCAGTTTTACCCTCCCAAAAAGAAATCCCATACCCTTAAGTCTTCCCCCATCACACTCCTCCATCTCCCCAGCCTCTGGAAACCACTAATCAACTTTTGAGTCAATGGATTTGCCTCTTTGGGACATTGTATGTAAATGAAATCACATAACATGTGGTCTCATCAGCCTGGCTTCCTTCACTTAACATACCATCTTCAGGTTCCATCTGTACTATTTTTGGATGACTTCCACTTTAGGAATATACATTTGTTTGTTCACTCGTCCCTTGGTTATCATTTGAGTTCTTTCTACTTTTTGGCTTTTATGAATAATGCTTGTATGAACATCTGCGTACAAGTTTGTGTGTTGACATATGTTTTCCATTTTCTTGGGTATATACCTAGGAGTCACGCAGTAATTCTAAGAAACTGCCAAACTGTTTTCCAAAGCTGCACCATTCTACACATCCACCAACAATACATGAGTGTTCCAATTTCTCCATATCCTCACCAACACTTGTTATTTTCCGGGCTTTTGTTTTATTCTAATTTCAGCTATCCTAAATGGGTGTGAAGTGGCACCTCACTGTGGTTTTAATTTGCAAAAGATTAGCATCTTTTCATGTGTTTGTTGAACATTTGTGTATCTTCTTTGGAGAGATGTCAATTCAAATTATTTGACCACATGTTAACCAGGTAATTGCATTTTACTGTTCAGTTGTAAGAATTCTTTCACTCAACATCGTTGCTTTGAGATTCACCCACGTCCAGTTGTTCATTTCTTTTTTTAACTAGTATTTTTTAGAGCAGTTTTAGGGTCACAGCAAAACTGAGTACAAAATACAGGCATTCCCATAAATCCCGTTTTCATACTCACTCTCTCTCTCACACACACACACACACACACACACACTCCCCCACTATCAACATCCTCTACCTTAGTGGTACATGTGTTTTGACACATCATTATCACCCAAAGTCGGCAGTTTACATTCGGGTTCACTTCTGGTCTTGTACACCCTATGGGTTTGGACAAATGTGTAAAAACAGGTATCCACCATTACAGTATCAAAAGGAGTATTTCTGATGCCCTAAAAATCCTGTGCTTCACTTATTTATCCCTCCTTCCCCGCAACCCCTGGCAACCACTGATCTTTTTACTATCTCCACAGTTTCGCCTTTCCCTGTGTTCTCCAAGGTGGAGGAGCAAGAGAGTTCTCTGGGGTCTCTTTTATAAGGGCACTTAATCCCATCAGGAAGACTCAACTTTCACGACCTAATCACCTCCCGAAGGCCCCACCTCCTAATACATCACGCTGGGCATTAGGTTTCAACATATGAATTCCGGGGAGACATAAATATTCAGTTCATTGCATATGGTAAGAGTATGTTTAATTCTATAAGAAACCACCAAACTGTCCTCAAAAGTGGCTGTACCTTTTTGCATTCCCACCAGCAATGGATGAGAGTTCCTTCCCACCATTCTTAAACATGAGCAGATATCCGAGGATAGAAACCAAAACAATATAAACAATAACAACATAAGAAAAAAAAATAATTGCAACTCTACCGGGAGAAGAAAAACTTAGGAGAAAAAAATCTCTATCATCAAAATCCTCACACAGAGAAGAGAAAATATTACAATCACAGAAGATAAAAAAAAATTATAAAAAAAGTAACATTAAAAAGCCAAAATGTAGCTCTTGGTAAACAAAAGGATGACAGCAGAAATCAAATTTTGGATTTAAAAGCCAAAGTTGAAGAACCTTCCCAGAAAGTAAAGCAAAACTAAATAAATAAATAGGTAGGTAGACAGATGGAGAGTAGGAGAGACAAGATGCGAAAATCACAGAAAATCAGAATCAGACCGGAAGAGCCAAGACTCAAATCTAGGTGTTTCAGAAAGAGAGAATAGAGAAAGTGGAAGAGAGGAAATATTCAACGAAATAAACAACAAATTCCACGGCTTTTTAGACTGAGAGCTCTTTGTGTGCTCAGGCAAGGAACATCAATGTGAAACATCAGAAGCCTAGGCATGAGAAGACACATGTTTTTAACAATTTTTAAAATATTTTAATTAAAAAGTTTTAAATGTTTGTAAAAGACAAAGGGAAAAGAAGGGAGGAGGGGAGAAGGAAAGAACACAAGAAGAAAGAAGGGAGAACGAGCATCTCACACACAATTTTTGGACTCCTCAGGAACTTGAGAAGCTAGAAAGCTAGAGATTCACGGAGTAAGCCTTCAAAATCAGACAATAATTTCCAAAATACCCAGCCAAACCAGTAATCAAGTGGGAGGAATACAGTAAAGTCATTTTAAACCTGCAAGGCCTTTAAAACTGACCTCCTTTGCATCATTTCTCAAAGAGGTACTGGAGAATGTGCTCCACCCGAACAAGGGCATAAACCAAGAAATATGACAAAGGACACTGGAAATTAGAGTTAGCAACAGGAGAAGCAAAAGCAACACTGAGGACATGGCAAAGGGCCTTCCCAGGATGACACCTGCACCAAGTGGTGGTATTCCACATTGGAGAAGTCTCAGAGACTTCTTCAGTAGGTTAAACTGGTGACATACCTAAAGTGTCCTAACATCTTGAGAGACTCAGACAACTGGCGAAGGATTTGGGGTTGATTTTGTGAATAATGGAATCTTAATCAAACCAAAAAACAAGGCAATTCAATTATTAATTCCACGGAAAATAAAAAGTTGTGCTGGAAGAAAAATTAATCGAGTCCATACATAGACCTCAGAAACATTTTGCTTGGCTTATCCCTCAATTTAATTCTTTTATAATTAAAGGTCAATAGTCAAAAATCAGGAGACTGTACAAAAAATTCCAGAATCCTAGGTTCTTTTTTTTTTTTCGAAAAACTGCAAGATCTAGGCAAATTGTGCTATATTTCCACAAACCTGAGCCGAGCGGCCTCCCCAGGTGGTCACAGCCGAGCCCAGCCCTGGGCAATCTACAGCCCGGCTTCTCTAGAGCCCGTGAGAGGGTGCGAGCCCGGCGGGGGCCGGGGGTGGGGAGCAGCACCGACCAGCGACAAAGGGGTCTCGCAAGCCTTCCAGTCTTCGTTTCTAGGCTCTTTTTTCTTCCCCTCCTCCCATTTTTCCTAAATTGCCCAGTGCTTCTCTCACTTCACTTGCCATCACGTAGTTCCAGCCCTCAGCAAAGACGGTACCCAGCCAGAAGAAAAAAAGAAGCGGGAGTGACTTCCGGCCAGGAGGCGGGCAGCGAGTCTTGCTTCCGGCGGCGCTCCGACTGACGTAAGCGAGCGCGCCGCGAGGCGTGGACCGAGGACAGAGCTGGGGCGCATGGAGGTCAGGGGCGGCGGTCGCGGCGGCAGTGGCGGCAGTGGCGTCGTAGGTCTCGGGGCCAGAGGAAGAGGGTCTTGAGTGTGGGTCCTGAAGGCAGGGGTGCGTGGCCGGGGAAGGAGACCTGGAGGACATGTTGGGACGCAGGGGGTTGGGGTGGGGAGCCGGGGCCGGGCCGGGCCCAATTCAGAGCCGCGCTCGCTCATGCGCACGCGCCCCCTTTCCAAGATCCCGCATGGAGACTTGCGAGCCCTTCGCTGACTGACCCTCCGGGTGTACGCGTGCAGGCCTTGGTACGGGTCGTTCTCTCTCGCTTCTGAGGACTAAACTTCCGGGTTGATGCTTCCATAAATCCAGTTAGGGTTCTGAACGTGTTTCTTTCGTAGCTCGAGGGGCAGTTTTCAGCCGGGAACGTTTCCAGTGCTTCCCCGCTGCTGGGGCTCTGTGGATGGTGGATATTCCTTGGGCCAGTATTCCTCCTCTGGGCTTTTTGTTTTATGTACAGTTAGTCCAGACTTTTTACAACTGCACTAATCAGTTCATGTAAAAATAAAATGTCCCAGACCAAATCCTAGGAAATCGAAGATCAAACAGGCTCTCTGCTTTGGTGGGAGGGAGACCCAGGTTAACCTTCTGTGGTGCTCCGGTCGCATGCCTCACCCAGGTCATTAAATCAGACTGGTGAGCAAGACAGAATTGTTAAAAGCAGTAGCATCAGGATATGTAACAAATTCTTGAAGGAGGTAACGTTTTGTCTGGGTTGTGGAAAGATGGAGGGTGATTTCCTGAGCCCTGTGGTGAAGGGTGAGAAAACGAGGCAGCAGGGCTTCCCGTGCCCTGCCCTGCCCCGCCTGCCCCGTCAAGGTGTAATGAAATTGCACGGCTTCTTTAGAATGAGGGTGTGTTGCAGGGAGGAAAAAGAGGTAAAACTGGGAGTACAATTCTGGGCCATATTGTGAAGTGCTTTCTACGATTAGTTCAGGAGTTTTGCCCTTAGAAGGGGGGGGGGGTTGTGTGTGTGTGTTTAGCAGGTGATGTAATACTGTAACTTGAGTTGAAGAGGCTCATTTATATATCTATAGGCATTAAAATGTATGCACAGAAGCTGTGATATATACAGATTATATGTCCAGGATTTTCCAGGAATAGTCTAAAATATTCTGTCTTGTCTCTGTAAGTCAATAATTTTTAATTCTGGATGCTTTTTAAAATTAAAAAGAAAGGAGGAGGGAGTATAGCTCAAGTGGTAGAGTGCATACTTGGCATGCACGAGGTCCTGGGTTCAATCCCCTGTACCTCCTCTAAAAATAAAAATTAACAAGTGAACCTAATTACACCCCCCCAAAAAAAATTAAAAAGAAAGAAGATGTGTTGTTCTAGCCCTGCTTGCAAAGACTCCCACTCTGGAAGTCTTGGGCCAGGCCTGGGATTCTGAAGTGTTGAACCATTCCCTAGGTGATTCCGCAACCAGGACTAAAAACTCTCCAACCTAAGCTGTAGTGCTTCTGCGTTTTGAGATCTCATTACATTCTACACTGAAACAAAAACCGTCTGAGGTTTTTGCTTTGGAAAATGCTGTTGCGTGCATGTGGACAGCAGAAAGGAGAGGGTCAGGCTGATTTGTGGAAACTGTGGCTGACTCCCTTTCATTTGTTCTGTTCTGCTCTGTTTGGGAGTCAGGAACTGCCCCTGCACCACTCCCCTTCTCTCTCCTTTTTCTCTCCAGGGCTTTGGAATCACTTGCTAGGAGTCCTTCCTCCCCGCCACCGAGGCCACCATGGCAGCTCGCCTGGTGAAGCGATGCACGTGCCTCCTGAGAGAGGCCACCCGTCTAGCCCCTGCTGTGACTCCAGCCAGCCAGCTGAGACTTGCCAGGGTAGCCCATAAGACTTTGACTTCCTCCGCTACCTCACCCAGCTCCCACCTCCCAAGGTCCTTATCAGAGCTTCTGGAGAAGGAACGAGTGTTTACTCCCTACCCAGAGCGCCAGGAGGTGGACCAGCTCATCGAGAAGGCCACCCAGCCAGAGGAGCTCCTGGAGCTACTTGGTGGCGGTCACTGTCTGCACCAGAACCACGCAGCCCTCATGCTAATCCAGCTCTCTCGCCTGCTGTCTGAGAAGCAAAAAGACAAAGCCTTGCTCATCCAGGATGCCCGCTTTCAGCAACTTGTCCATCTTGTCAACAACCAGGTGGGTTCTGCAGTGTTTTCCGAGAGTTCAGCCAGCAGAAAACAGCAGAGGGCCTGGGGTCCAGAGCACTCAGTCACTTTCCAGGTATAGACCGGAGCTCTGTTGTACACTTGGACCCTCAACATCCTGTGATATTTTTTCACTTTGTAGATTCCAGAGTGCTTTAATGTGCTTTCCATCCTGTTAATTCTCACAACAACCCTGATAGGCGAATGTTACTGTCCTCATCTTGCACACAGCCAGGAGGATGCAGTAACTAGAAGCTCAGGAACCGAGCCTGCTTCTTCTCGGTGCCTTGTGTGCTTTCTCCCCCTCGCCATACAGTCCTGCATGGCCCCTGCTCCAGTGTCTGAGTGATGGTGGACACAGTCTTGAAGCTGGAGGAGATGAGGAATGATGGAGGATCTCAGAAGCTTGAGGGGCCTGGGTGTGATCCAGCTAGTCAGCTCCTTAAAGGATGAGCGTGGAGAGAAGGGACTTGGTGTGGGTGTGGGTGTATGGGTGTGTGGGGCAGATCTCAAGCCAGCCTCTGTTCAGTGTGAGGCAGTGCTCCCTTCAGGCAGGCACCATGTGGTTTGCTGATGCCGGAGGGCCCGTGGCACAGAAAGGAGGTGCAGACCTGCACTCAGGCTGCGTTGGCCCTCACTCACTCCCCTGGCCTGCGCTGGAGGGGCGAAGCTGCGCTTCTGTCACTTAGCATTGAAACCCCGTGTCCACTTGTCAGGGATGATGGGGGGGTTCACAGCTCAAGGAAGGGTTGCACTAAATGAGTCTTTCCAAACTGCAAGTTTTGAGAGTAGTGGATGTGGCCAACTGTTAATGAGATAGGGTAATAGAGAAAACAGTTCCCACGTAGTAAGGGAGGTGTTACTTTGCAGAACTTTTCGTTCCAATTGAGTATGTATTGGGGTCCCAGCACAAATTTATTTCTTGTCAAGATGAACTCAGAAAAATGATGTTAATTACGTCCCTTCTTGTTCTAAGACTAATTCTAGTTGTTGTTTATTGAACATTCTACATGCACACAGTTGAAGGAAGCTTTAGAGACAAGACTGGACATTGTAACAAAATTACAAGCCAATAATGAACAGGCAACAGAGTATTTAGAAATATACAGGGGCACCAAGTTTTCTTTTAAAGGGTCCTCCTATTATCTGGGAAATGAACAGAAAGAACAGGAACTCCTGGTGGCTCGTGTGATGTTGAGATCAAATTCATTCTTTTTCCTTCTCCCCAGCCCTCCACACAACAACTTTTCTGTTTGCCCCTCACCCCTTGTGTGTGATTTCAGTTCCTTGTCTTGGCAGCGTAGCCCCGTTTCACAGATGAGGGGTCAGGAGAGTGGTAGAGCTAAGAGCCTCAGCACAGCAGATGACAAGACCCACACGCACTTACCACGTACTGCCTCCTATTAGGTTAGAGTCTGGGCCAGAGGACTCTTGGAGTGGCTCCTGTGTTTCTCTGAGGCCTGGAAAGATGTTCTGCAGAGAACAGCTTAGTCACCCTTGTTCAGAAACAGAGCTGGGCCGAGGAGGCTGTGGTGCAGGGGGCAGGAGTGCGCAGACTATCCAGGCACAGGTTCTGGTTTTGCCGTCATAGTGAGACTTTGGTGGGAAAACGTGGCATGGGGTGATGAAGCCGCACAGGGCGCTTCCACTGGCACCTGGTGCACGCAGGAGCATGGAAGGATGCCTGCATCTCAGAAGAACGTGGTGGTGGCAGCGGGCCAGCCAGCTGAGCCGTACATCCTCCGATACTGGGAGTTTGGGGGTGGGCAGGACTCAGTGATAACGGGGCATCTTTTACCCACATATCATAGGGCTTTCTTGCACAGTCAGGCCCCAGGGACACCTGGGCTGGCTTCAGTCACACCGCTGGAGGGTTTGGGGCAGTGGTGCACTGGCAGCGATGTCTCTGCTCTAACGCAGCTGTTGCATTCCTCAGACGCTCCACATTCCTGGAAACTATGTTATGACTGCTTTGTTGGAGGAGAGGGTCTAGGATATAGGGCTTCTCGGTCTCAACAGTTTCCCTTCCAAAGAAAAGTCAGTATGTTTTTAACAGCTCAAAATTGTAATTGTCAGCACAAGCAAAAGATGAGCCAGTTGACCAAACTGGCCTAACGGTCCCATCTTGACCCTGAGTCACACTCCCACAGACATCTCCCTGACCTCTGGACTTGACACATTTGCTTGCGGCTCAGGTCTGTGTGTACCAGGCAAGCAGGGTTCAGGCGTGCCTGCCACACAGAGCTATAGCCGGGACTCCACTCAGTCGGCCGTGCCAGTCACATGTGCATTAGGGAAACTCCAGGAGGATTTCTCTTTATCACTGACTTCCTGCCATGATAGCAAACAGCTCTGGCTGACTGGAGCAGAAGGCGGGCCTGCCGGAAGCTGGGGAATTGGGCCCAGAAAGCAGGCTGTGAGGACCAGCCTGGTGCACCTGTTAAAATAATGGAGGGGGTACCGGGTCTAGCTCAGACCCTTGGCCCCCTCTGTAACAGCACAGGGTGGGTGGGGTCCCAGGTGTGACCGTACTTGTGTCCTCTCCCCCCAGATTACCACCATCTGGCATGGGACCCTTGTGAAGCTGCTCCGAAGCCTCTATTCACTGGGGCTCCCCCCGACCTCCAAGGAGCTGCGCTCGGTGGAGCAGGAGGTCCGCTGGCGCTTGCGCAGGCTCAAGTACAAGCACCTGGCCTTCCTGGCCGAGTCCTGCGCCACCTACATGCAGGAGCAGAACTCCCAGGAGCTGCTGGCCGAGCTGCTGGTACACCTGGAGCGGCGCTGGACAGAAATCGATGATGGCCACACGGTGGTGGCCATGATGATGAAGATAGGGCACCTCTCGGAGCCCCTGATGAACCGCCTGGAAGACAAGGTACTGGGGACGAGAGCCCTGGTGGCTTCTGTCCACAAGGTCCGGGGCGTGGCACTGAAGGGACTGGCAGTTGAGGCAGCTACAGGCAGCACTCCATGCCCGCTGGTTGCTCCAAGGATCCTCAGTGGGGAGTGTGCAGAGCCTGAGCCCTGCTCCTTTGTCTTTCTCTGAAATTGCATCTTGCACATAACCTGGAGAAGGCTTGGCCAGCAGCTCCTGAAGTGGGGCGTTGGCCCGCCCGGTGGCTTGGCTTCTGCTGGTGCTTCCTGGAGACATCATGCCTGCCTGCCCTACACCCCATCTCTGCCCCGCAGTCAAGTCAAATTCAGCCCCTGTTCCTACTGTAGTGGGGGCTGGCCCAGATGACTGCCACAGCAAGGCTGCAGCTCATGGGCCCTGGGTCCCCCGCCCTGGGACCTGGGGATAAGTTTGGCTGCACACATGGCGCCCCTGGCCCGGGGCCTCCCTGGGGTGAAGGCCGGGGCAGACCCTACACAGATGGGGCCTGTGTTTAGTAAGCTCAGGCCCAGTTGCTGTCTCGCAGGGGCTGCACTGCATGGGACCCCTGGCCCTTGGGCCATCGAGCTGACCCCTGCCGGCTGTGGTTGACAGTGCCTGGAGCTGGTGGAGCAGTTTGGCCCTGAAGAGCTGCGGAAGGTGCTGGTGACATTGGCAGCTCAGAACCGGCGGTCCGTGCCCTTGCTGCGGGCCGTCTCTTACCACCTGGTCCAGAAGCCCTTCTCCCTAACGAAAGGCATCCTTCTGGACCTGGCCTATGCCTACGGTGAGCCCTGCGCACAGGGAGCAGAGGGGCGGGAGGAGTTCGGCCGCAGCTGTGTCAAATTCGGTGCCTGCCTCCCCTATGGCAGCCACTGGCCCAAAAGGCTGCCACAGAAACACTGTGACTCATGGGCCCTGATCCTCTCTGCTGGGCCTCAGGGATAAGTTTGGTTACAGACATGAAGCTCTTACTTCTTGAGACCAGGCTGGGGTGCAGGGGTGGGCCTGAGGGTGGCCTGCCCATCCTCACCAGTTAAATCCTGTGGTCTGTCCCCAAGGCAAACTTGGCTTCCACCAGACCCAGGTGTTCCAGCGCCTGGCCGCAGACCTGCTGCCCCACATGCCCAGCCTGACGTCCAGCGAGGTGGCCCGCTGCACCAAGTCCTTCGCCTTCCTTAAGTGGCTCAACCTGCCCCTGTTTGAGGCCTTTGCCCAGGTGAGCTGGGCTGCAGGCCTGAGGCCTGGGCTCAGACCCCCGTGTCGGGTCCCCACCTTGAGCCAGCTCCCTGGTCATTTCATCGGGGGCACAGCCGTCCTGGTGGCACATAAAGAATTCTTACCCTATGGCTTATTCGGAGAGAAACAACATGACTCAGTAGTGAAGGAAAATGTAGTTGAGAGTGGTTTCCTCCATTCTTTTGCTGAACTTCGTAGGAGTTTTCACCTGTCTCTGGGTGGCTGTAGCAGGAAGCAGTGCAGACAGCAAGGCTGAGAATACACTCAGAACTCTGCCTAACTGCCATCTGCCCCAGAATGGAACTGTGAAGAAAGAGAAGTTTGCACTTAGGTTTACTTGCAGGTCAAAACTATGTTTGCTGGCTGAAGGGTGTTTCTAAAGCTGTTGTCTGGGGCTCTTTGTGTGTGTGATTGCCTCTGGGAAGACAGGGTCTGGCCCTCCCTCCGCCCACTTCCCTGTGTAAATTACCCCTTGTGGCTGAGGGCTTGTGGGCCAATGGGGGAGGGCCAGGTGTGCCTGGGGCATTGGCCAGGGCCCTGCAGCCACCCTGGTCACTGGGCCCCTCTCATCCTGCGCTTCTCCCTTACCCACCTGGCTCAGCACGTCCTGGACAGAGCCCAGAGCATCACTCTGCCACACCTGTGCAACATGCTCCTGGCCTTCGCCCGCGTGAACTTCCACCCAGAACGTGAAGATCAGTTCTTCAGCCTGGTACGGGCTCGCTGCTCCCTGTCCCCTACCCTCCCCCTGCAGGCTGGTGTTCAGCCCAGCCGGGACTGTGTGGGAGGAGGCCCGATTTCTGCCGAGAAGCCCAAGGAGTGCGGAGGCATTAAGAAAAAAGGCCTGGCGTGGGGGTGTGGAGGGAGCTGGCTAGGGCCAGATGTCCTAGCAGTTGTCTGGGGACAAAACAAATCCAGCATGCTAGCCAAGGGCCAGGAAGACATTGGATGGCTCACTCGCCTTGCAGTCATGGCTGGAGGACCGCTGGTCTTGCTGCCTAGTGCTCCTTAATTCCCTGCCGAGGCTCAGAGACCTCCATCCACTCCGGACACCTGCAGACAAGGCCAAGTGTGCCCTTGCAGGGGTGAGAGCATCCTGTGTGTGGACCAGATATGGCCCTGGGCCCCACAGAGGGTGCTGCCCCAGCTGGCCAGCTGCTTCCCCTTTCATAATCTCCAACTACTCTTGGGGCCAAAAACGCCTCCCCAGTCCTGGAGACGTTGCTTTGTGGCAGGTCCCTGCCAGTGGGAGTGGCAGTGAGCAGCCAGCTGCTTTCCAGATTGATCCTAGGGCGTGAGGAGGGTTTCTGGTACCTTCCATAAGGGGTGCCTCAGCCAGGGTGGCTCCCCGTAGCTTCCTTGGGCCCCAGCATGGCCCTGACTGCTGCCCGCCCAGGGGTGTCTGTGGCCGCTGAGCAGAGCCTGTTTCCTCTACCCCACTCCATCCTTGCCCAGGTGCATGAGAAGCTGGGGTCAGAGCTGGCAGGCCTGGAGCCAGCGGTGCAGGTGGACGTGGTGTGGGCCCTGTGTGTGCTGCAGCAGGCGCGGGAGGCCGAGCTGCAGGCTGTGCTCCGCCCTGAACTTCACACCCAGTTTCTAGGTGAGCAGCGGTGGGGGCATCCCTCCCTCCTGAGTGATGGTGAGCCCTCGTGCGTGCCCCTCCCCGCCCCATCCCAGGTACCGCTGTAGCTGGGATGGGTGCCTGGTTCTGTCCGCCTTGAGCAGGGAGGGAGATGGGGAGCCTTCAGGCCCTGCTCACCATCAAGGAGACAGGTCAGGGCTCACTCGCATTTGCTCCTGCGTCCACTCCTAGTGGGTGACCAGCAGACCTTTCTGCTGCTCCTGACCCAGGGTCCAGGGTGAGACGTGGGTGTGGGGGTGCTGCTGGCTCTCCCTGGCCCTCCGCCTGCCCCTCCCTTCTTACTCCATCCTCTCATCTTAGGTGGCGAGTCCCCGAAGGATCAAAGCACCTTCCAAAAGCTGCTCCATATCAACGCCACTGCCCAGCTGGAGCACCCCGAGTACACGGGTCCCCTTTTGCCAGCCTCAGCCTTGGTCCCCAGGCCCTCAGCCCTTGACAGGAAGGTGACCCCCTTGCAGAATGAGCTACAGGAGACACTGAAGACACTGCTGGGGAGTGTGGACAAGGGCAGCTTCATGGTGGCCACGCAGTACGGCTGGGTTCTGGGTGAGGGCCCTCCCCCTCCCTTTCCCAGCAGTCCCATTTGGGGGCTGTTCTAAACCTACCCTTTCTGCTCTCTGGGGTCTCTGTCCATCACTGGGGGGGGCTGCAGCCTGGTTGGCCTCTGAGGAATGATCCCCGACACATTTCACCCTGTGCTCTCCCCAGATGCTGAGGTGCTGCTGGACGCCGACAGTCAGTTCCTGCCCCTGAGGAACTTCGTGGCCCCTCATCTTGCCCCACCCTCTGGGAACCAGCCGCTGCCCCCCAGGGCCAAGAGGTAGGCGGGCAGCACAGCCCTCAGGGCTCTGTGCACGAGGCTCTTCTCTGGCATTCCCTCCTGCCTCCCAGGGCTTGGGAGAGCCATCAGCACCTGCCGCGCCCCATCTCCCCCTACAGGCTGGCCTTCCTGCGCTGGGAGTTCCCCAACTTCAACAGCCGAAGCAAAGACTTGCTGGGGCGCTTTGTGATGGCCCGGCGCCACTTGCGGGCCGCTGGCTTCCTGCTGGTAGATGTGAGTATCCGTCGGGTGGCAGTAACTGCACGGGGGGAAGCCCCCAGCCCCAGTTGGGTGACAGGAGGAACCAGTGCTCACTTGGACCCTAGCTCTTGAGGTCAGCCGTCATGGGGTTCCCCCTTCACCCTTGAGAAAAGGGAAGCTTGGAAGGGGGTTGTGTTTTTCCCAAGGTCACACGGCTTTTAAGTATCACAGTGATGCCTCAGGTGCTGCTCCCCTCACCACAGCCAGAGCCTCTCAGAGGTGAGAGCGCCCCTCGCCCAGGCCCACGTGCCGCTGTGTGCCTTACGCTGAGTGCCGTGCCGTGGTCCGGCCCCGGGTTCTCACCGCTCCGACCTCTGCCACAGGAGAGAGGCTGTCCTGTGAGGGGCTCTGTGGGTTCTGTCACAATCTCTTCTCGAGTTTCTTGTTTTTTTAGTACAACTTTGAAACTTTAGAAGCCACCCTTGATCCCGTGTAATTGTGGGCCCCTGCAGCTCCGTGGGCTTCTCCCTTCAGGACTTAGAGGCCAGGGGTGTGGTGTGCAGTGCAGCGGGCAGAGCCAGGGTCCCCACCTGCCCTGACTTATCTGCCCTGCCTCCCCAGGTCCCGTACTACGAGTGGCTGGAACTCAAGTCTGAGTGGCAGAAAGGAGCCTACCTCAAGGACAAGATGCGCAAGGCCGTGGCGGAGGAGCTGGCCAAGTGACCTGTCCCGTAGCGAGGACTGTGTGCCCAGGGGCCGGACTCCCCTGGGGGCCTAGCCACAGGCGCTGGCCGGGCAGGAGGTGGACGCTCAGAGACAAACCTCGGTGCAGGACCTTGGCCAGAAATGGGGTGGTGGCCAGCAGCTCTGAGTGCAGGCTGCTCTCTCATGGGTAATAAATCTGTAATCAGCTTCCCGTCTGTCCCAGCTTCTCTGCCACCCACAGAGGGCCCTTCTCCTTGTGTGCACTCACACCTGGCTGGCCTGCTGCTCAGGGTCTGTGGTCAGCCCCAGCACAGACTGCGTCCTAGAGTTCCCAACCTCCTGGTGTGAGGACCGTCCCAGTGGGGACGTGGGTTTTCAGGGCATGGCTTAGGGTTATTGATCACAGTTGTCCCAGGAAGTTCCTGCCCATCCAGTGGTCTTGAATGAGTGGGGGATGCTGCAGGGCCAAAAGAGACCCCTCTTTGACTTAAACCCGGACCAGAGTGTCAGACTGCTGTTGTGGGAACCGTTTGCATGATGCTGGAAAGGGGAGGCTTTTTCACTTCCAGTCCCTCACAGGAGACTTGTTGGCAGAACACACAGAGGGGAGACTAGGCACTGCCATCTGCCGCCAGCAGGAGCGGAGGGAGCTGAGCAGAGAGGAGCCGCCTCACCCCTCCGGGCCCCATCCCAGCCGTTTCCCTCTGCCTCCAAAGTGATAGCTCAGAAAGTGAGGCCGGTCCTTCGGACTTAAAGCCTCACCAGCACACAGGCATTGGGGCGGCACCAGCTCACAGAACATGGGTGCTTGTCATTTGCACTGGGGGTCCTTCACCCCGAAGGAGGGGGCGGCTAGAGACAGTTCTCAGGAACTGGTGACGCCCAGCCCAGGCAAGCTGAGGGAGCGGGGAGAGCAGAGCATTGCAAAGCTGGGGCCAGCAGGGACCAGCACCGGTCTGCCCAGCCAGTCTGGAGCCTCCGGGAGCTCCCACTGAGGAAAGAGCTCAGCCTGTTCATTTGGGACCGCTGGCTTCTATTTGAGATTCTTAGCGGCTCCCTGCAGTCATAAAAAACAGTGGTCCCCTGCACCCTCTACCAGTTTCATCAGCGGTGACATCCGGTAGAATTCTGGTGCCTGTCCCGCCAGCACGGTGACGGGAAGAAAAGCCCACATACAGGACATTTGCATCACCATGAGGGCACCTCATGTTGCCCTTCACACTCACACCTCCCACTTGTCCTCAGCCACCAGCGACTGCCAACCTGTACTCCCATTTCTACTTTGTCATTTCGAGAATGTTCTAGAGAGGAACCACACAGCACATTACCTTCAGAAGCTGGCTTTCTTCACAGGCACAGTTCTCTGGAGATTTCACCCAGTAGCTCCTTCCTGGTTAAACTGCTGTCAGATTGTGGTTCAGCCCTGTGTGGGGGTGTTTGTGCAAACCTAACCTTCTCATTTCTCTGGGATGAGCGCCCAGGAGCGCAGCTGCCAGATTGTATGGGATTTACGCGTCGTTTAAGAAACTGCCAAAGTGTGTTTCGGGAGGTGCTTGAGCACGCGCTGGGCTGCCACCAGCAGTGTGTGAGGAGCAGCTAGGCCCTCCGCGCGCTGGCCAGCTTGTGTTCTCACGGGCTGTTAGCAGTTCCAAAGGGTGCGGAGTGATCTCTTCACAGTTTGCATTTGCACTTGCCTAACGGCTAGGGACGCTGAGCACTTAACCTGGCTTAATTCTAGTCGTCCTGGTGGGTAGGAAGCGGTACCTCATTGTGGTTTGGATTTTCATCTCTATCATAGCTAATCTCCTCATGTGCTTATTGTCCATGACATACAATCTTTGGAGAAATACCTATTCAGATCATCTGTCCAGTTTTTAATTAGGTTGTCTTCCTGAGTTGTAGGAATTCTTTAGAAGTTCTGGAAACATGTCTCGTATCAGATTAATGATTTGCAAAGATTTTCTCCCATTTTGTGGGTTCTGTTTTCGCTTTCTTGATGGTGTCCTTTAAAACACAGACGTTCTGAATTTGGGTAGCGTCTCCCTCCCACAAGTGGGGGCTAAGCAGGAGGGAGCCCCACCGCTCGGCCACACTTGCCTGGGACTCGGCCTCAGCAGCGAGGCAGGGGGCAGGATAAGAAACGCGGAAGTCCTTCAACCCCTGGGAAGAAAGCCCTGTGCTTGGGAGTAGGGGTGCCGCTGAGGGGCCCTGTGTTTGTGGTCGCACCAGCCTGCAGTGGGTTCTCCCCCTCCCTAGGGAGGGAGCAGTCTTGATTCAAATACTATAGACTCTGCCTTCTTAGGAAATTTGCATGGATTTTCTTGAGTAGCTATTTCTTGTTGGCTCTTCAGACCATTTACAGGAGCTTTAAATGTTTCATAATTTTAACCAGTTTTACTGGGGCTTCTGGAAGTCCATCTGCCTTTTAGTTCTTTGTCTTGCCTTACTGCAGGGGTTAGAACTTCCAGTACTGTTTAAAAAAAAAAAAAAAAGAACTACTTTTGAAAAGAGCAGACATGTCTGCCTTGTTCCCAATCCTAGGAAGCATTCAGTCTTTCACTGTCAAGTATGATGTTAGCTGTAAGGTTTTTGTATATGATTTTTATCAACTTTATTTAAACTTGCTGTAAAGTTTTTTTTTAATCTGAATGTCTGTTGGATTGTGTCAAATGTTTTTTCTGTATCAATTGATAATTATATAATTTTTTTTCTTTAGTCTGTTAGTATAGTGGATTTCATTGATTTTCAAGTGTTGAACCATCCTTGCATCCGTGCATCCTTGCATATCAAATTCCACTTGGTTGTGGTGTGTAATTCTTTGAATACATGGGTGGATTTGATTTGCCAATGTTTCATTGAGTATTTTTGAGCCTAAGTTCATGGGAGATACTGGCATGTAGTGTTTGGTTTTGGTACTAACTTTGCCTGGTTTGGATATCAGGGTATTTCTTATGTCCAAAAATGAGTTAGGAAGTGTTTCTTCCTGTTTTCTGGAAGACGTTTAAAATTGATGTTGATTCTCCTTTAAATACTTGATGGAACTTCATGAAATTATCAGGGCCTGCAGATTTCTTTGGGGACGTTTTTAAGTTACAAATTCACTTTCTTTCATGGTTGTAGGACTATTCGTATTATCTATTTCATCTTGTAGATTTTAATTTTCAGGTAATTGCCCATGTCTTCAACGTTGTTGAATTTATGAGCATTTAGTTGTTTGTAGCATTCCTTTAGTGTCCTTGTAATGTCTTCAGGCTCTGTAGTGTTAGCTCTACTATTAGTCAGCATTCTCCAGAGAAATAGAACCAACAGGATCTATACAGAGACAAATGCACGCGGAGATATATTATACGAACTGGCTCATGCACTTATGGAGGCCGAGAAGTCCCACAATTTGCTGTCTGCAAGCTGGAGAACTAGGAAAGTCATAGCCAATGGTACAAATTCAGCCCAAATGCAAAGGCCTGGGAAGAGGGGAAAGGGGGTGGGTGTCACTGCTGTCAGCCCTGGAGTCCAAAGGCCTGAGAACCAAGAGCTCCAATGTTCAAGGATAGGAGGTTGACATCTCAGCTCAAGAAAAGTGAATTCACCTTTCTGCCTTTTTGTTTCTTTTGTAGATATAGATATATACTTTTATCGAAGTGTAGTCAGTTTACAATGTGTCAATTTCTGGTATACAACATAATGCTTCAGTCATACATGAACATACTTACATTTGTTTTCACATTCTTTTTCACCATAAATTACTACAAAATACTGAATATAATTCCTTGTGCTATACAGTTCCTATGCGTTTTTGTTTCTCTCTGGACCCCCAGTGGATTGGCTGATGCCGATGCGGGCAGATCTCTTTACTCCTCTACTGAACCAATCGATGCTAAGCTCTCCAAAGATGTCCTCACATACACACCCAGAAATAGCCTTTTACCAGCTGTCTGGGCATCCCTAAGCCCAGTCAAGTTGACACATAAAATTAACCATCATAAAGAGAGAAATGAGAAAAAAAAGAAAACAGACTCATAGACATAGAATACAGACTTGTGGTTGCCATGGGGGTAGGGGGTGGGAAGGGACAGACTGGGAGTTCAAAATTTGTAGATACTGACAGGCATGTGTAGAATAGATAAACAAGATTATACTGTACAGCACAGGGAAATGTATACAAGATCTTGTGGTAGCTCACAGCGAAAAAGAATGCGACAACGAATATATGTATGTTCATGTATAACTGAAAAATTGTGCTCTGCACTGGAATTTGACACAACATTGTAAAATGACTATTACTGAATAAAAAAAAAATGAACCATCATAACCCCCACTGCATACGGTCATTTGTGTCTTCTCTCTCTGTTTTTGTCTGTCTTACAATTCTACTGATTTTTCAAAGAACTATTCCTTTCTGCCTCATTGATTTCCTCTGTTGCTTTCCTGTTTTTAATTTCATTGATTTCTTTTTTTTTTTTTCTGCTCTTGACTTTGTGATTTTCTTCCTGCTTGTTTTAGTCTGTTTTGCCCTTCTGGTTTCCTGAGGTAGGTTGGTGATTGATTTGAGATCTTTCTTCCTTTCTGATGTGCTATAAATACCTCTCTCAACACTGTTTTAGCTGCAGACCACATAATTTGATATTTTGTTTTTTTATTTTTATTCAATTCTGGGTTTTAAAAAAACTTCCTGGTGTACCCCCTCCTTGACACATGGGTTATTTAGAAAGGTGTTGTTTAATTCCCAGTGTTTGGGGATTTTCTTGTCTTTCTAATGATTTCTAGTTTGAGTCCATCGTGTTCTGAGTACATACTTTGTGATTTCAGGTATTTTAAATGTGTCCTTTTTTTTAATTAAATGAAAGATTCTTTAAATTCTATGGTGCTTTACAATTTTCAGAAGTTTCACAAACATGATTTCATACAATCCCATAATAACCTAGGGGTTTTTTTTTAAATCCCCTACCACTTTATTGCCCCCTTCCCCCAAGGTTTGATCCATCTTGAGGAATGTTCCCCACTTTAAACGTTTTTTTATTTTTTTTTTATTTTGGGGGGAGGGTGTAATTAGGTTTATTTATTTTTAATGGAGGTACTGGGGATTGAACCCAGGACCTCATGCATGCTAAGCAGGCAGGCACTCTACCACTGAGCTATGCCCTCCCCCCAGAATGTTCCCCACTTTAAAAAATGGATGTATTCTGCTGCTGTTGGGTGGCGTATCCACGTCG